ATATATATATATATATATATATATATATATATATATATATATATTTTAATAATGCAGAAACTGCCAAAAATAATTTTATATTTTTTTTAGTATAAAAAATTGATATGAGATATAAAATGTAATGTATATCACTATTATTTTGAATGACACTTGGATAAATTAATTTTCTGAACTGATTAGTTATGATCTCTATTAAATCTGTAGAAGTTCATAATTATAAATTTATTACAAGCACACAATATGCGCGCGCGCACATATTTTATTTGAAAATTTTTTATTTGTAATTTTCATAATATTTCATACTACCATTGACTAACTAGTTATACTATGAAATATATTTTTTATATTACTCATGAAAAAAAATATATCTTTATGCTTATTTATTGCAAAAGTATATATTTTTATTTAGAGTTGTAATATTGCATTCAATAACAACAAACAACACACGTGCAGTATTTTATAAAATTATGAAGACAAGGAAAACACTCGTTGAGAGAATTTTCGCAGAAAATTAGAATGTTAAACGTCGATTAGTATCAAAATAAATAAAGAACAATTTTTCAAACGAGAGAGCATGTGCAAATTCTATACGCAATATATTATATTGTAATAATTATAATATATTATAAATATATTATATAATATATTATAAAATATAATTATATTTTGTGCCTCAGGTTCTGAATTACCGATCGGGAAAAGAAATCACTGATTTTTTTTAGCGCCCTCTACGCTTAACAACGGCGAATTGGAGAACTACGTCAAACAAAATGATGCAACTTGGTTCAAGAAAAATATATTTTTTACAATGTTGTCAATTGTATGTATCTTTAGCACAGACGAGGTATAAATACATAAAACTCGTCTATGCCACTAAATTCTGATACAAGAAATCAGTATCTAAAACGTTTTATATCATGCATCCATGAATATATAGCACAAAAAACTCTATCTATTTTATGGATATAATTACTTATACTTCATTATTTTTAAAAATGATTTTTAAAATAGTTTTTATTTTGATTGGCAACTGGTGATTGACTACCGTATATTTATTTAGTTTCAAATGGCCACCGATCGAAATAAAATTTGAAGGGCATAACATGTGAAACTCCAGACTTGACTCTAACTCGCAGCTTGGGGCTAGCACTACCCCCTACTTATATTGTTCAAATTTCGATTGGTCTCTTTAGATAATTCCAAAGTATGTATCGATAACTACCCCCTACTTGTATTGTTCAAATTTCGATTGGTCTCTTTAGATAATTCCAAAGTATGTATCGATAACTACCCCCTACTTGTATTGTTCAAATTTCGATTGGTCTCTTCAGATAATTTCAAAGTATGTATCGATAACTATCCCCTATTTGTACTGTTCAAATTTCGATTGGTCTCTTCAGATAATTCCAAAGTATGTATCGATAACTACCCCCTATTTGTACTGTTCAAATTTCGATTGGTCTCTTCAGATAATACCATTGAAACTGTTACGTTGCGAATGTACGAACAAAACTAATTATCTACATAGTAGAAAACGCAAAATCATCGATTGATTATTGCGATTGATTATCATGCGTAATGTGTAGTATAATATAATGTCTGGTAATGCGTTAATCACAGTAACAGGTTTCTTCTGTCCTTTTTTCTTCTTCTTTCTTCACCAAGTTTTTTTATTTTCAAACGATAATTACACGCACAGACATTGTCCATTGCAATAGTTTGATCTTCTCGACTTGAACGAACATAAGCTTCTGAATTTACAAATTATTTCTCTATAAAAACTTGAATCTCCTCCATTCAACGTCCGAATCGTTTGCACGTAACATCGTCGATTCAGTAATTTGCCATTTAGTTTTCAAACTACGGAGGAACCCTTTTGAGGCGCATGTTCTACCGTGTATAAAAGGTCAGTTGCTCTGCTCGGTAGCACGTGAGAGTGGATACCAGGGCAAAAATATTTGGCGACGATGATCCTGGAGATCTACAACAGAATGACATGTGTTTTGATCATCCGAGAGCAAAGATTTTCCGGAAATGTGTGTGTACACACGTATGTGTACACACGTTCGATGACAGTCTATCTGTGGTAAGATAAAATCAAGTGGTAGGATAAAGTAGCAAAAAAATTGCGAAAAAGAACGTAATTAGATAGCTGTTGGAGTCGTAACTAACATTAATTATAACTTGTTTTCTTGTGTAAGGAGTTAGATCATTTTCTTTTACATTTTAGTGGGAGCAGCACGAGCGGAGGGTTTAAAAGAACCGCGATCAAGTCAAATCTTCAGTCATCGTAAACGTTTTCTATCAACGGGACGAACGTAGTCGATCATCGATTTTTCTACGATTGTGCCATCTCCCGACGATCATTTCTCGAAAGCGAGATCCTACCGATAGACAACGAAGGGCCGCCCCTGTCCAGGATTTGAAAATGGGTTCGTTGCTGATAATAGCGGTTGTGTTGGCCGTGCTATTAGTGGTCTACTACCGAGCCACTTGTAACTTCAACTTCTTCAAGAAACGTGGGATCCCGTACGCAAAATCGATGGTGCTTGCAGGAAGCATCTGGGAGATGTTCCTTCAACGAATTTCATTCGCCGAGATCGCAGAAAAAATATACAATTTGGATCGCGAGTCAAAGTATATCGGTTTCTTCGAATTCAATTCGCCTCTGCTCATGATTCGGGACCTCGACCTGATCAAGTCTGTCACGGTGAAGAATTTCGACCATTTTCTAAATCATCGAATGACCTTCGACCCGAACCTGGAGCCACTCTTCTCGAAGAATCTGTTTTCTCTGCGCGACGAAAGATGGAGGGAAGTACGGAACATGTTGACACCGATCTTCGCGTCCGGCAGGATGAAGTCCATGTTCTTGCTGATGCGTGACTGTGCCAAAGAGTACGGCGATTATTTCGCTTCTTTATCTGCCGATCAGTCAACTTTGGAGCTGAAAGACACATTCACCAAGTACGTCAACGACGTGATCGCCTCTTGCGCGTTTGGCGTTGACGTCAACTCGATAAGAAATCCGAAAAACACGTTCTACGTGTACGGCAGGGAAGTAACCAGCTTTGGAAGAGTACAGTCCCTCAAGTTCTTCGCGGTGACAAAATTTCCACGGTTATGTCGATTGTTCGGTATCAGGATAATTAAGCAGAAGGTCGTCGATTTCTTCAAGCAGTTGATAGTCAGCACGATAAAGGCGCGAGTCGAGAACAGTATCGTTCGTCCGGACATGCTTCAGCTGTTAATGGATAGAAGAGGGAAATTGGGCCCAGGCAAAGAATTGACCATCGACGAGATGACCGTCCAGATGTTCGGCTTTTTCTTCGGTGGATTCGAGAGCACCTCTAATCTCATGTGTTTCGCCGCTTACGAGGTCGGCATCAACGAGCAGGTACAGAAAATTTTGCAAGACGAGATCGATCAGGTTTTGGACGATTGTAACGGCCAGGTCACGTACGAGGCCATAAACGGCATGAAGTACCTGCATGCTGTCATCCTCGAGAGTCTTCGGATGTACCCAGCGGCGGTCGGTAGCGACAGAATCTGCACGAAACCATTCGAATTGCCGCCACGCGTGCCGGGTGAGAAGCCGTACACCGTGCAACGAGGGGATTGCTTGTGGATACCGATTTATAGCATTCAACACGATCCGCAATACTATCCGCATCCGAAGAAGTTCTTCCCCGACAGATTCTACGACTCGAAACGGACTTCTCTCCCGTTCCTCCCGTTTGGATTGGGCCCCAGGACGTGCATCGCAAGCAGGTTTGCACTGTTGGAAACGAAAGTAATGCTCTTCTTCATTTTCGCCAAGTGTGACCTGGCACCTTGCGAAAAATCGTCGATACCATTAAAATTGGATAAAAAAGGTTTCGCTATAACGTCGGAGAATGGCTTCTGGCTGAAAATTCGACCGAGAAGTGCAAAAAGAACGCAGCAAGAAATGGCCAACATGAAATCTTTTTGTACACAGTAATTATTATATATAGTATATATACTATATATAGTATATATGTAGTATATATACTATATATAGTATATATGTAGTATGTATACTATATATAGTATATATGTAGTATATATATAGTACATATAGTATATATACTATATATACTATATATACTATATATACTATATATACTGTATATATACTATATATACTATATGTAAAACAAATTTATATTATACATTATAGATTACATTATACATTATATTATATTATACATTATACATTATATTATACATTATATATACTATATGTAAAACAAATTTATACTATATACAATTATACTGTAACAAATTTATACTATAACTAAATATATACTATATACAATTATACTATAACAAATTTATACTATAACTAAATATATACTATATATATTATATGTAAAACAATTTTGTAGTAAAATCAAGTTTTTATTTCTTTATTTATTATATAAAATAAAATAAATTCAATTTATTCCTTATTTATTATATAATATCCATCATTATCAACGGCAGTTTGTCACCTTTCTTGCAAATTTTCAATCCCGTGGTCATAATCTCGTTCTTGCTTGCGAAATATATGAATCACGCGTACGTGCAAACATGCGAAAATTTATTCTATTTCTTCAATTTATTCAAAATTTATTCAAAATCTAAGTTACGAACGATTTATACGTGTTTTGACGTTTTCAAAAGCAAGATCGGATTTACTTTTTTTTCTTTCTTCTACTGATCTTTATTTAATTCCGCCAAGAAAATTGTCAATTCTCACGATTTCAATCTTTCGAACAAATCTTTCACAGATCTCTTCTTTTTACACATTTTTACGAAGATTTAATGTATTCTTTGTTGAGAAATATGTATATTCGTTCGATGTAATTATGTTGCAATTAAATAAATTTGGTGGTTCGAAATAAATATACTTACGTTGGGTTAAATTAGGAAAATAATCGTATGAACATAATCTCCATAACATAATTTAATTTAACCAAATATTTAACAACATAATTTAATCATCGTATCTAGTCGTTATCGTTCCTAGAAAAAGTTAACAACATTTTGTATTCAATCGGAATTTTAGAAATTTTGCAACAAACTATGATAACATCCATCTACTGCTTTTTAACATTGAAATATCTTTGCTGATATAGAGAAAAGATGTGTGCACAGTACATACTCGTATTTCCTAGATATTAGTATATATATATATATATTAATATATATATATGTGTGTGTGTATATTTTATATTCCTTCATATTGTATTTTTCTTTCTTTCTTTTTTTTTTTAATACAAATAATTGCTATCAGAATGATTCAGTTACTGCATTGCCATTTTAAGTGTAAATTTTAAGTGTAAATTTGTACGCAGTTTCATTGTAATTAATTGCATTTTCTTATACGTATTCCAATTCTAATTAATTCCACTTGTTTCTTCAGGAAAAATTAAACGCGCAGATCAGATTAATGAGAAACGGTGGTGTTTTTTAAACATTAAAGTTAATTGCAATCACTTTGTTACATAATCTCGATCTTGACAATCTCTATATGAGAAACGTTGTAACAAAATGTTTGCAGAATATACAAGTTATGTGACCGCGGACAGTAGGTGTGTCACGAACGTTCAGTATATACCGCGAAATTCCTCCGGAGATCAACTCGCACACTATTAATAACAGCCGAGGAAAGTTAGTGGTAACAATTGGCTACATATTTGTCACATTTTTAACCTGCAGCTGTCTCATTTCACCGACTATTATTTCGCAATCAAATGTGAGAGTGAAATAATATAAATAAACTTCAATATATTTATGCAGAATAAATTTTAATAAAACTTTTTAATTTCTTACATATATTATATTTTACACATATAATATATTTTAGTAATTTTTTTTTTGGTATGACAATCTGTATAGCAATCACCTACGTGTACACAACAGGTTTTGCAAATTTGCTGTTTTGAAATTCTAATATCCGATTCATAACAGACCGGACATTAAATGAAGTTTAGTGTCTCAGTGTCTGAAATACCGACCAGGAAAAAAAATTACTAGTTTTTCTAGCGTCATTTACGCTTAAACCATTGACTAATTAGCATAGATTAGACATCCAATGGTTTTTCATGTCCCAGGTTTTGGGGGACCACCTGACCTCCTTACCATTTTCGTGTCACCATTTTCGTGTCATTATTTAAAGTCGCATCAACCACTTATGTGGGTTTTGCACATTCGTTGAAAATGGAATGAATCTTTCCAAATTCATTCATAACATTTCAAAGTGAAAGTGATGGATCTGTAATATTCTTGTCGATTTTCTTATAAAGTATGAAATAGCATAAAAATTATAGTTTAATCATTTGAATTTCATTTCAATCATTTAATATAGAGAAATTTTTTTCGGAACGAATCGTTTATTAAAGAGATCTTGAAAGAGTTACCTGAAATACCGACATGGTTTTATAGCGCACTCTGTTTGAACAACGGTGAATTGAGGAATTACATCAAGTAAAACGATCGACGTTGGTCAAGTAGTGAATGCTCCAGCAACTTGATTTTTGAGTTGTCAGCCTTTCAATACCGAAATGTGAAGCTAGTAACTAATCGAAATCATTCTGTTGTATATTAGAAAGAGTTCTATCCATCTTTTACGGATCACAATTTTTTTCAATATCAAGTAAATTTTAAAATGATTAATACATGGTTTTATGTATAAATAATTTA